TCTGTCTCATTCTCTCTCTCAAATAAATAAATAAAATCTTTAAAAAAAAAAAAAAAAAGAAAGAGGTATGAGATTGACAGTTGGGTCCTTCTTCTCCCACATGAGTCAGCTTTGACCTTTCTATCGAGGCAAACCTTCTCAACCAAATAAAAATAGGTCTAACAGAGTGCAACACCTGGGCGTTGTTTTTTTTTTCTTTTCTTTTTAATAGATGAGCCCTGAGATGGAAGAAAAGATTCCCCTTTATGTTTTTGCCTTCATTTGGACTCTTTGTTACCAAGTGTACGATAGGATCAGGTCTGAGAGTTACAATAACTGTCGTTTTTGTGCCACCGTAAGCGTTCTCCCCCGCCTCTCCACCCCGCCCCCCCCAAACAAGGCTGATTTTATTCTTTCCAACCGGTGGACTCTTGTTTCAAAGGCCTTGAACTCCAGGGCGCTACTGAAAAGGCTTTGACATGTCAAAGGCAAGCATCTTTAGCTGGAACAAAGCAACTCAAAGCCTCTATTCTCCCCGGTACTCAGCCTCGAAAATGAAAACAAAAGCCAGGCGAGGGCAAGGCCTGCGATCACTCCCCAGACACAGGAGCCCAGCAGCTGAGAACTTCCCAGCAGCCCCCGCAACTCACCTCTCGGTGATATTCTTAGCTGTCTGTAGGAACCGCGCATGATCATTCTCCTTCAGAGAGTGTTCCGCCTGGGAGATGAGGGACGCCGACCGCTCGATGCACTGCTTGCAGTTTGCAATCTGCTGAGCCAGTTTGCGAAGCCTCATCACCTTGAAAAGAGGCATGGAGATGGTTAGGTGGGTGGGCTTGCTTAGGGAACATGCATCAGGCTGGACCCTTCCAACGTGTGCATCGTGCTGCGCGGAAGTTGTCCTTCAGTGAAAGTCCAAAGAGTGGGCGGAGAAATGTGGAAATCCCAGTTAGGGGACGCCTGGCTTGGATACTCTTGATCTCCTTGGAGAAGCGTCGCTAATTTGTTTTATGAGAAAATACTTTATTGTGAATTGCTTCCTTGTTGATGGGGAAAAAAGGTGTTGCCTAATGGCAAGCTACAAGGGTCACCAGACCTCTTCCCTCACTATTCCGCTCAAGCAGCGAACGCTGGGACTTTCTCTGTCTCAGGGCTTCAGCTGGGCCATCAAGAAAATAAGACATCCCCGTAGGTGCAAATGTGTGGCTTAAGTAAGAACCATTTTCCCAAAAGGTCTTTGCAATCCACGTCATAGAATTGTGATGTGAAAAAACATGAGGTATTACTATTTCCCACACGATCTAAAACTCACGTGTTAAATGAACAGAAAGCCAGCGTTTTTTCCATTGATTAATATTTTTCCTGTTGAGCAGATGAGAGAAAGCCAAAGAAAGCACAGCTGGGCCCTTTCCCCTCACTGGGAACGTCATTTCCAGGTACTTTGTGCTTCCTTGATAACTAAGAACTATTTTGATAAGCATTTCCCAGTCGGGATAAAAATGCATGTTTGGCTCCAACCTCCATTCCAATTCCTGATTCTGTCTTGCTTGAAAACGACCCTCAGACGTAATTGACCGTAACCTCGGGGGTAGGCCAAGATAAGTGCACGGTAACCCACTTGACCATTCGCTAGAGTGTTTGAAATGTGCTGTGAGATGAAGCCCTCTGGCCAGAAGCCAAGTCAAAATTAGACTGCTAATTGGAATTGCTGGGCGCCCAGTGCCCCATCCACACAGCCCGGGACAGGTCTTGGCCGGCCTCAGGATCATTCCGGAATGGAAAACAGCCCTGGGTGAAAGGGTAGGGAGGAGGCCAGTTAATCTGTCTTACAGACAAGGCTGGCTCCGGCCCCCTCCAGAATTCCTGCTAACTCCAAGAAATTCCTTCTTTCTCCAAGTCATCATTAGCATCCCCATGCAACTTTAATCGAAGAAAAGGAAGGAAGGAGATGTCAGAACTCGAGGCCTCTAAGGAACATCTGATTCCAGCTATGTCGTACTGCAGCAAACAAAGGAAATTCATGCTGCACTGAGAGGCAGCAGCGGCAAGACTTCGGGCAAGAGAGACAGTTAAGAGAGAATGAAGTGCCAAGACCTTGGAGCAAACGGCGTAGGAGATTAAGCCCGGTAAAAGACGTAACTCATTATAATGACGGTGACCATCCACAGCAGATTAACCGTGTTCATTAGTTGAATGAAATAACACTTCTTTTACACCAAATTGAATTTAGCGTCTAACACAGTTACATCCAGAGGTAAAGCTGAGAAAGGCTTAGAGTCCAATTCATCCATCAGAGGAAGGAAAATAACTTGGAGTCCCCAACAATCCAAGTGAACGAAATATTTAAGCACACGACGGAATTAAAGATGTTTAATACAATTCCAACAAAAGAAACATAAGGTCAAAATACTCCTTTAGAACAACTCTGTGTCAGTCACTTAGCCTTTTCGTCTATCAGTGATCCATCCCACAGACTACAAATGCAACAATGCTTGAACTCTATTTTCTTCTTTCTTTTCTTCTATCATGATACTGGAAATTAAAAGTGGCATTAAGCAGAAAAGATAAAAAACAAAACCAAACAACAACCCTAACTCATGCATTAAGTTGAAGGAAGCCAAAATGAGAAAACATAGGAATGCTTTACCGAAAACAATTGTTGGCATAATTTTAATTTTAGTTCAAGTGTACAATTCCATCTGACATGCCGGATCGGAGCTTTTCAAAATGGTGTGCACAAGAATCAGCAGGAATCTTTTGAAAAGAGAAACTGTAAATGTTTGGGCCCCCTCTCCAATATCCTCCCTAAAAAGCTGTTATTGACAGAGCAGTACGAATCTGCATTCCAACAGGCAATGAGCCGCAGGTGATGGGTCAGTAGGTATGGTCAGAACTAGCACTTACCAACAAAATAGAAGGGAAGAGGAGAGGAGAAAAGAAAGTAGCAGAGTGCATTCCTGATACAGAAGGCAAATTCGGTTTTGCAAAAACCTGCCGTGTGTGTGCCTGCACACGCGCATGCTGGGCTTCATGTCCTCCCTATTTTTTTACTGTGGGCTTCAGTTAAAAAAAAAAAAAAAGAGAGAGAAAGAAAAGAAGAACACTACTCTGAATCAGGTGTTCACAAACTATGGTCTGTATGCCATATCCAGCACACACCGATCTGTGTACATAAAGTTTTATTGGCACACTGCCACGTTCATTCATTTATGAATCATCTATGGCTCACACGACAACATTGGGCAGAGGTGAACTGTTGCAACAGAAACTGTATGGCAAAGCCTACAATATTTATTATCTGGCCCTTTACCGAAAAAGTTTGCCAACTTAAGTGATTCGGATCAAACGGCCCTGATCTGAACCACACTTTGGGAAACACTGTCCTACTTGCTACAACACTTCAGAATCAGACACCGAGCATTTAGCAAAATACTAATTTCGTCCTTAGAAAACTCTTTTTTATATACTATTTTAAAAATCTGACAAGACGCATAAAATCTGATTTTTGAAAAGAAACACTGGGTACTGACACGTAAGAAGATTCTTTATACGTTAAGTGTTACTGCCACAGGGGACATTTTTCCAAGTGGGCCCTGTTCTTCTTTGCCTTTGGGAAGTGTTGCTTGCACGTTGTAATTTCAGGAATTCGCTCTATGCTCATCATGGAAATAGCCTGCCGGTTGAATCTGCTTTCGGTGAGGACACAGGCCTATACATACCAATTTATCTGCTGTTTATTATACCTTACACGTGCTCTAAAATGCAGCGCTTCGTTTTTCTTTAAATGCAGTTTAAATGCTTTTAATGTATGTGCTTTTATATGTATTGTAGGATCCCCACCCCAAAACTGTTCCGTCCTAACAACTGATCCTCAGTTATCACAGGTCTCTGCATTGCCAGTGAGGCCTGACTTGGCGTTTCTGTAAGGCTCTAGAAAAGCCCGACTACATAGTCCAGTTACTGATCTTAAATTCTGGAGATCTGGAGTACATTTAAAAGCCGTGAAGAGAAGGGACCCTTTTTCTCTGTGGCTGCAGCGTTCTACCACCCATCCGTGTCTGAACATAAAACACCTAATTTCCTCAGTCTGGAGTTTGCTGCCAGCTTTTGCTGTGTTGACATGAAATTTATCTCCTCCTACTGAAGAGATAAGACACTTCTTTCCCAGGGAGTCTCGTGGCTTGAGACTCTCCAGTCCCTCCGAGGAGAAAGGCCGCCGAGCTGTTTATTTCCTAGGCTGCACAATGGTCTGAGAGCAAGCATTACCAGTACGTACCAGTGGGTCCCAACCCTGCCTACCTGGCAAGCCCTCAGCCGGAGGATTTGCGGTGAGTCTGTTTCCACCAGGTCTAACGGCCTGGGGATCCACACCAGAGACCCATGGCGGCCGAAGTCACGTCACCACCGTGATCCCCGCGGTCCTGCCGGTTCTTCCTCCAGCTCCCCACTTCCAAGTGCCGGTGAGAGAGCCCCCCTGCCCCTTCTCTGGATTCAGCGTCCTCAAGACCGCCCAGACACCACCCTGGGCACCCTCATGGGGTACCAAGTCCATACTTGGCCCTCCCTGCCCAGCACCTCGGTTTCCCAGCGCGTTGGTACTCACGCTCTTCTCTTCCTCAAAATGTATCTCTGACACCACGTGCCCTGGCCAGGGACTCAGTCACCGTGAATTCCGAGCTTTGGGATTCCACTAGTCTTTGGTGATGTTGCCAAAGCAGTAACTCAAGAGAAAGCCAAACTGGGCCTCATCTTTCCCAAGCAATGTTTGCTTTCTAAGACTGCCTTCTGAGATAATGTCCCCGAGCCAAGTGTGTACTTTTTAAAAAGTGATAAACTTCAAACACACAGATGATTTTTAAAGTAATATGATCCACTTCCCCGTGCCCAGTCCCAGCTTTACCAAATCTCAATATCTCCATCATATTAGTGTAAAAGATTTCTGAAAAGGAAGTAAAATATTATTGATAGCATGGAAGCCCTGTGTGTCCCTCCCTAATTTCATTCAAGTCCTTCTCCAGAGGAAAACACCTTTTTGAATTCAGGCTGGATCACTCCCAAGTATGTATTCGTGCCTAAACATTGTATGGGATTTTTCTGTAGTTTATCGAATTTTATATAACAAGTCTCACTCCACGCAAAGCATTGTAAAGCTTGTTTATATGTTTGCGATTTGTCCATATGAATGCATGTCACCCGAGTTCATAAATTTTAACTTTTGAAGGCTGTTCCAGTACATAAATATACAATTGTCTTATAAACAGCTTTATTGAGATATAATTAACATACAACAAACTGTATATACTTAAAGTGCAAATTTGGTAAGTTTGCAAAAATGTGTAAACCCATAAGATAATGGACACATAGATCTTGCCTCCATTTTCCTCCTGCCCTTGGTAATTCATCCCGTCCCCCACCCCACTCCCTGTCACTCATCCCTAAGCAACCACTGATTTGTCTTCTGTCACCGTAGATTATTAGAAAGTGTTATTTCGGGGCGCCTGGGTGGCTCAGACGGTTGAGCGTCTGCCTTCAGCTCAGGTCATGATCCCAGGGTTCTGGGATCGAGTCCCGCATCAGGTTCCCTGCTAGGCGGGAAGCCTGCTTCTCCCTCTGCCTCTCTCTCTCTCTCTGACTCTCATGAATAAATAAATAAAACATTAAAAAAAAAAAGTGTTATTTCTAAACTTCCATATGAATGTGTTCATGCAGTATATACTATTTTCGGTCCGGCTTCTTTCACTCACCCTAATTTATTGAGATTCATCCGTGTTGTTGCATGTATCAATAGCTCGTTCTTTTTTGTTGCTGAATATAGTATTTCATTGTATGGCTGCGCCACAAATTGTTTATTCATTCATCTCCTGATAGACATTTGGGTCATTTCCAGTTTGGGGCTATTACCCTTGCCATTCCCATGAAAATTCATGTATGTGTCCTATAGGGACACATGCTTTCAATTCTCTGGCAAACACCTAGCATGGTGTATGTATAACTACTTAAGGAACTGTCAGTTTTCCAAAATGCAGTTTTATTCTTATAAACAGCGTATCAGAGTTCTAGTTCCTCCACGTTCTCAACAACGCTTGGTATGGTCCATCTTTTTCATTTTAACTGTTCTACTAGGTAAGTAGGGTATCTCCTTGAGGTTCTAACTTCCCTTACTGACTTTTCTTAACAACTAATGATTTTGAACATCTTCTCATGTGCTCATTTGCCATCCACATGCCTTCCTTGGTAAAGTACCTATTCAAATCTTTTATCCATCTGGTAAAGGTATTGTTTGTTTCCTTGCTAATGAGTTTTGAGAATTTGTTATATACCTGCGTACGAATATTTTTCTCTTCAGATAAATAATTTATACATATTTGTCTCCAACCTGTGGCTTGTCTTTACATTCTCTTAACAGTGCCTTTTAGAGAGAAGTTTTTACTTTTGATGTAATACAATTATCTGTTTAATTTGTAAATATTTCTTTGATGTTTTTAACATTGTATATGAACAATCTTTGCCCAACTCAAGGTTCATCGAGATTTCCTCTCACATTTTCTTCTAGAAGTTTTATCATTTTGTCTTTCACATTAGGAATATCCGTTTAGATTTAATTTTTGTATATGGCATGAAATATGGCTCGAATTTCATATTATGTGCAGAATAGCGTCTCCTATGTGGAGGCTAAAACTCAGTTTCCAAATGCCCCCTGCGGCTGAGTAGTCTTTATAGTTTCAATGTCTACATTTTACCTCCCAAACTGCTAATCTGTTATTTTCACATTTCTTTCTTTCTGATCTTATACCCTTTTTGTGGCTTCACAAGTTTTTGCTCTTTTAAAATAGAAGTTATCCCTTCATTTATCACCTTAAACATCTTTTCTATATTTTCCCATAAAATGAATTTCACCTGGGGTGAGATAACGTCTTTGTTGATTTTGCAGGCTATATTTTCCGAAATGCAAGATTTCTTTATATGCTTCAGCACTGCGCTTTGAGTTTCAGGTTTAAAGGGAAGAAGTCATTCATAATCATTTTCTCTTTGCTTAGCCCCCTCCCATCCCCTCCACCTACTGGTATTACCATCAGTTTTCCTCAACTCCCTCACACTTGGGGGTCCTCATTCAGGGATCCTCTGCATTTCTGAGGCTTCTCTTTTGAGCAGGTATCAGAAATAGTGCAAATCCAGGCTCCAGCCCAACAACAGACTTGTTCCAGACTCCCAGGCCCGAAATCACTAAAAACCATGACCCGGGATAGAGGTTGGCAATAATCTTTTTTGGTGCCTTTTAATGAACTGAGAAGCCTTATGCGGCCCGTGGCATTGACCAACAAGCCTGATTTTAGTCCCTCATACCATCTGGAGCACTTCTAGCCCCTTTATCCCAGGGCTTCAAGAACTCTTTATCCATTGGAGTGGAAGGTGTCGCTGCTTTGGTCTCTTCCAGACCAAGTCCCACTCCCGTGTTTTAGCTGCAACTGTAGCTTTGCAGGCTTGTCCCATCTCTGGCCCATGGAGACCTTTATCTTGTTTTGGGTCCAGCTGGGTGTCTTTGCTTTCCTATTTCACCATGTTCTCTTGTCACTGACACGTATTCGGGGTGGACTGGGTGCACTAAAGCACGAACCCCATGCATGACGACGGCCGGAACTGCGACACCCCTGCACTACTTTGATCGAGCTCATGAGAGAAACCCTCATGCTGGGAAGTTAAGCAGGGGAAAGGCATGCTGGCCAGGCTGAATAACCATGCCCCTCCAAGATGCTCCCATCCTACTCCCAGGAGTTTTTAAACGATGGCGCTTTACATGATAAAAGGGATGTTGCAGATGTGATTAAGGCAAGGATCTTGAGAGAGGGGGGTCTTATCCTGGATGATCTGGGTGACCCCAGTGTAATTAGAAGGGTCCTTAGAAGAGAGAACCAGAGAGAACTGTGCCAGAGAAAGAGATCTGAGGAGGGAAGCAAAGGTCGGAGTGATGTGATAAAGAAACCAGGAGCCAAGGAGTGCAGGTGGCCTCTAAAAGCCAGAAAAGGCAACAAATAGATTCTGCCCTAGAGCCTCCGGAAAGAAACAGCACTGCTGAAACCTTGACTTTCAGCCCAGTGAGACTGATTTTGGACTCCTGACCTCCGGAAGGTCAGAAACTAAATCTGTGTTGTTTTAAGCCACCCAGTCTGTGGTAATTTGTTACAGCAGCGATAAGAAACTAATATGAGTATCGAGAGCTGATCCCTGTACCATGTAAAGGCAACAAATTCCCTCCCACACGCATATTAATGAATTGCAGCTGTATTTCAGGCAATCGTATATCTGAGGACCTGCGAGATGTCAGGTATTAAGAGATGTACACATGTGGTGCATGACAATGGAAGAAGAAAAATGTCCTGTGAGGATTCCAGGCTGACATTCAGTGCTCTTCGAAGTTGTACAATTTGTACATGGGGAAGAGTCGCTTCTCAGTACATTTGAGTTCTTGGCCAGGGAATGATTTCATATTAATTTGTTAATTCACTATAACAGCTTCCAGAGCTATTTGATTTGATTTGACTTTAACTTTTCTGATCACCATCACAATTTACATGCGTAAATATTTTTCAACTTACATAGGCAAAGTAATCTAAAACATTATACAGTATTGAAAGTACCTTTTAAATATGGTAGAAAACAGAGAAGCGCACATATATTAGCTATTGGAACCTCTGTGTACCACTTAATAGTTGCTAATTTAATTATACATATTTCATTAAAGCATGGTTATGAGCATATGTAATAATAGAACCTCATGAATTTATTGGATCTTGAATGAATGTTTCTATTTTTTAAATATTTACAAAATTACCTTTTGAGGGTGGCAGAGAAATGAGCAAAATGAAATGGATCCCAAGTATTTCAATAAAAACCATAGGAATTTTAAAGATACAAATATTAGAAAAGAATTACTATTAATATATCCACAAAGGGATCTATGATACAGTGAAACTACAGCAGTTTTGCCACCATGAAATTATACCTGTCTGAATTCGCTCAAGGGCACGGGAAAATACTTTGCAATTTCTATATAAAGTCTGATTCATTGAAACATTTATTTAATACTGTGTTAATTGCTGGATATAGCGATAAATATGAAATGAACTCCTCCTCTGTGGAACCCACCTTCTCATAGAGAAGAAAGATGAAAACAATGGCTATAATAGACCAGGGCTCCATGCTGCCCCCTGGAGTTCAGTAATGGAGGAGAGGTAATGTAATCCTTTTATTACAGATGTGCATAGGAAATGGTGATAATACAAAGAAATGGGTGGAGAAAAAAATGGCCAACCAGGGGCCTTTGAGCTCCGTCTTAAAGACTTAAGAGGAAATTACAGAAAATATAGAAAAGGGGGGTATTCGATATTTCCTAAGCTATTGAAGTGCATGGGAGTATGATGTTTTCTCCAGGTAGAAAATATGAAATCTACCCTAGAAATCATACCTTCCCTTCTTTGATCTTGGTTCCAATAATCTGTCGTCTCTGCTGAATGATCTCAATGAGAAGATCACACTCCTCCATCAATTTGGCTTCTTGACGTGATGCATTGACCTACAGGATAGATAGAATAGTAAGGGTTTACTTGGCCTTTGTTTTCAGTTACATGCTCTTTAATGTAGACTACTATGTTTCTGGTAATCACTAAAAAGGATACTTTAAATGTTAACTCTTCTTCCAATTATACAGAGATGGAAAATATAGGACTTACATGTCCACTCCCTATCTTGCATCCTTGGAGAACACTGTTATCCAAAGGTAGCAGTCTTTTCTACTAAGCCATACTCGGCCTCAGAATCTTCCTTAACCCAACATATATGTAGCTATTACCAGTTAGTGGGAAATCGACGCCTGAAATATATTTGTGATTCCTGCTTTTATATCTTGAAAGAAAGTATAATTTTGGCCTATTAAACAAAAAAGTAAGTTAAAAATAAAACAATATTATTCCTTTATGGAGAATAGATTACTATCGATATCCATTGAACAAATTTTCCAGAAGCAAGGTAGCAAGATTATATCACATTTACTTAACTTTTCTTTTAAATACAGACATCGACTTTGTCTTTCATCGCTATGAAAACATCAAAAAAGAAAAAGGATGGTTGACTGTTTTATTAATCTTAGGACATAATTTATAATTTTACTTCTGGTATACTTCCCGAGGTTCTACAGTGAACACATGCCATTCTCCAGGAAAGGTAGATCATTATAGGATGGCTTGTATTTGAAGTTTTTAAGACTCATGATATGCAAGGGAGGGTGACAATTAGCTCATTCTCGGCAACTGGGCTTGGGAAATACTCTGCACATGCTATTTCCTCCACCTCATGACAATTCTGAAATGCTTATTCGCAAACAGAGACCCAGAAATCACAGCTGTGGGAAATGGAGAGAGCATGCAGGAGTTTTATGATTTTAACACAGCACAGAAGTTGCAGTGTTACAGAGAATGACAATAGCATCATTGATTACTCTAGCATATCTCAGGCTCAGTCATTAAGCCCTTTTGATTTGGGATACTTTATTTAACTGGAGTAATTCCATTCTCTCTGAATGAGACAGACTGGAAGTAGGGTCAGAAGTTCAGGATAAAAATCCAGCTATGGCTTTTCAGAGATATCATGTCCTGTTTCCAGAGGCCAAGATTCCTTGAGTTTTATTCCTGATCATTATAAGACACAGCAGAGAGACTACTCAAGACATCTTCTCATTGAGAAGATAATGGTCACTGGCCATCTGCAGCAAACCCCAAGATCAGGTCCTATGTCAGATTAGCACGCAGACATGTTGGCTAAATGTTTAATGAACAGAAGAAAAAATTATAAGATGCATTTTGATGGACAAGTACAGAATGTGGAATTCAGGCTAATATTTCAAGGAAGTTCATCACTGGGCTCAATTTCTCTTACCATTACTTTTATGTTGTCATTTCTAGTTCTCCCTTGAGGACTCCCAAATAAACTTAGCTATCCATGAAAATATTTACTCAAAAAGCCACTACTCTCAAGAAATTTGTCTTTCCCTTTGACCTCAAACTGAATTTAATAACAGACTACAACCGAGCTGTGAAAAGGATGGAATCATATAGAAACCAGGGCACATTAGGATGGAGAAAGTAAAATTTCTGGAAAGTGGCACCTTACATTTGAAAAGTATCTTCCAGAATGAGCCCTAAGAGTGAAACCGTACTTGAGTACACAATCAAGGTAAATCTAATGGGATGCAAGCTCCGTAAGGGCAGGGAGCTTTGGCTGTTGTACGAAATGAGGTATCTCTCCCAAGTCTTTTCATTTTCTGGGTGATGCCCTTTGGGTTTGTTTTTTTTTTTTAAGTTTTATTTATTTAAGTAATCTCTACACCCCACGTGGGGCTCGAACTCACGACCCTGAGATCGAGAGTCGCACGCTCTTACGACTGAGCCAGCCAGGCGCCCCTTGATGATGCCTTTTGAAGCACGAAAGTTTTTAATTTTGACAGAGTCCAATTTACCTATTTTTCTATTGTCATTTGTGCTTTTGATGTCATAGCTAAGCAACCTCATCCAAGGTCGTGGAGATTTACACCTCCGCGTTCCTCTAGAAGTTTTACCTCTTACCTTTAGGTCTGTGAGCCATTTTGAGTTAAGTTTTGTGTACAGTGCAAAGTAGGGTCCAACTGTGTCTTTTTATTAATGGACAGCCCGTTGTCTAAGCACCACTGATGGAAGAGACAATTGGAAGACAACTGAAGTGTCTTAGCACTTTTGTCGAAAATCATTTGACCGTATCATGAAGTCCTCGGGTTTTGATGTGGTTGCTAACATATTCTGTGCTGAATGCTACTCTGGCTTTGAGTAAACCTGACCCAACCCCACCAGTAGCTCTAGAGTAGGTGCCATGAAATGTGGTGTGGAGTACTAGCTCTACACACTTGCAGGAGGATGATGTTGGGAAAATCAAGGAAAATGTCCATTTCTAAGTTCTCCTATTTTGTAAAATGAGGTGAATAATATCTGCTGTCTCAGCCATGTGGGATTATCGTGGTAGATACGTGGAATACTATATGAGGAAATAAGTAACACCGTGAAGTCATAGACAAATCTGAGATGGTATTGTCTGTATTAAGAAGTAGCTTTGTTAATAGACTACGATTGAGTTTGGGATCCATTTCACTCCAAAGATCATTGGGACTTGAGTTACTCTATGGTAGGAAAAGTGTCCCAGTTGCCATCATAACATGGGGTTCCACTTAATCCCAATTCTGGCCATTTGAAATTTATGATGGATAGATTTGTTTTACAAAAAAAGTAGACCAAAATCTACTTTGTTGAGCCAATATGTTTTGAGAAAGCTGATACCACAACCACCATGGCCCCAAAATATAAATTCCCAGAAATCTGGAAACATGATCTGTTCATTTTTGGCCAAGTATTTTCCTCAGATCTTTTAAAAAACACAGAATTGACTTTCCTTTGAAACCAGGAAAGTTGAATCTCTTTTTATACTTTGATGAAGCTTCCAAATTTTTGTAACTGTAGCATTCTTATATTCCAAAAGGTACAATAAAATAAGTTGAATGCTATCCTATATTTCTAAAATTCTTCCACTACAAAGAAGTTTTCCACAGTTTTGCTGTTTTATAAGTCACTTAAAAGGAGTTAATGATTTGATTGGACTTCACTTCTTCTATGGGCTATTAATCCAAATATGGCAGGGTTTATTGGTTGCTAGCAGTGTGTTCAGGTGTTTCTAGTTCCCAGGTCTGGTTTGGAAGCTGGCAGCTCCTAGTTACGATTTTAGCTTTCAATTTCAGATTCACATCTTTTGATTCAGAATCACTAAGGCTAATGGAAGTGCTTTGAGTAGAGCCAATCCAAGGATGAAAGAAATAGCCCCCAAACCTCCTTTCATAGACCGCTACTTCCACCTTCTTCGTCCCTACCCTAAAGACAAGAATGGGATGGGGATAATTAGGAATGATGGCCCGGTGGTAGGTGACTACTGGATCCCACCTCTGTACCGCACTGGGAAATAGGGCACGTATCCTTCAGCGCCCTTGACATTGCAGGACAAAATAGAGCTTAAAATTAGGCCTCTTCCCATTCCAGGCTTCTCACTGCTAGCTTTTTTTCTCATCTCAATTATACTCACGTGCAAATGTCACCTCGGCTCCTCATATGAGAAGAAACTCAGTTACTTTGACTTCGTCTCTGTTCTTGCCTCACCCATGTGCTCAGCACCCAACCTCTCTCCGTCTGGAGTTACAACTTCCTTTCTCATCCTGAAACGCATCATCCCCCGCCCCCCAACCAAATCATTGTTTCTAGTCCTTAGTACTAACTTTATCTCTTTGCAAAATACTCTAAAGTAATTCTTCTCAAGTTAGTCCCAAACCCAATTCTGGCAGAATTTCTTTCTTCTTTCAGATGTAATTATCCTACTTTTTAGGCCCTGATGCCTTATCTGAGGCTGCAAGCGACACAGCCAATGTCATGCAAGCTCAAGTCTACTCTTATAAAACACTTGCGGCCGTCACTGTGAAAGACCTACATACAACTATTGATTCGTTCATCAATCTATTCATTTATTCATTCGAATAATAGCAACTGGGTTCCCAGGGCATCTCAGACAGCATTCCAAGTGCTGGGCATGAAGGACGTCCAAGATAGACAAAGTTCCCATTATCACAGAGTTTACATCTGAGCACAGGGGAACAGGCTGAACAAGTCAAGAAATAAATAAAAATTCTGGATGGATCACGACAAGTGCCTAGAGGAAATTAAACAGGGTAATGCGATTGAACATGGCTGAGAGTAGGGTCCATTTTATGGGTCAGACAAGAATTCTCTGACAAGTCTCTGAAGGGGTGAAAAGGAACCAGCCAAAAGACATAAAAAAGGTATTCGCTGGCACTCCCAGCTCTGCTTTTAACAGGGACCCCCCACACAAATTCTACAGCGTAGCTTCGTTATTTACAGCTTCTGTATTTGTGATTTGCCTACTCACTCCAACTCAAAAATTAATTTGTAACCCCAAATCAATACTTGTGGCCTCTTTGTGTTCGTTTCAGACATGCTCAGAGCACGAAAAACACATGAGTCACCCTACTAGCACCCAGCTGAGGTTGGCCAAGGACACGCTTAGCCTTCCTGCTTCAGCTCTTCTATAATCCAAGGATGGAGACAACAGGGACAGCACAGCGTGGTGCAAGCAGCTCTGGAACCTCCTTTTCTCTTTCATAAAACAAAGACAACAGAATCTACCAGGATGACTTGCTTGCGAGATTTACGATTATGTAATCTAGGTGAGGGGTCGTATGTGTGTGCGTATGTGTGGCTATTTCCCCAAAGAGCAATGGTTCGGTATTGGCCAATTCAGTGTTCCTGGCAACTTTATAGACCTTAACTACCCCAAATGACGAGAATCGATTGATTTACCTACTATTTGTGTGTCCATAATGGTCCCAAGTATTTAGGGAGCAGGAAAGGTAGAATGAGAAGGGAAATCACGTAAGACACAGAAGAACAGCCTGGTTTGTAGAGTTGGTACCCCGCTCTCTCCTATTCCTACATA